ACGCTTTTTGAAACCATCAGGTACGGTCATAACACAAAAAGAAAAAAAAATACAGAACACAAATAATGGAGAAAAACACAGAAGGCGAAGCAATAGCATAGTGAAGTGAAATAGCTATAACAGCTGCAGTAAGTAAGAAAATTTCTTGTTGCTTGCTTCATCAATTTCGTCCTCCACCTGATTGCCTATCGTTTGCCACTTTTTCCACTCTCGGGGCTCTTTTGGAACCGAACTACGAATTTTTGAAATTTTCGTAGCAAGCACCGCCCACCTATAGAACGCCCCGCCCAAATGGGTTTGTCTCACTCATTTCGTCCGCCAACTGATTGCCTATCGTTTGCCACTTTTTCCACTCTCGGGGCTCTTTTGGAACCGAACTACGAATTTTTGAAAAATGTAGCTCACAATGTGCGCACGCCCCGCCCACAGTGGGCGGGGCTTAGCTTAGTTCATGTGTGTTCCGTACATCTTGGCCCATGCCCTACCCAACCCACCCTTGACCCGCCCCCTCCAACTGGCTCTTCAGGTGATTCCGAATTTCCGGACAGACAGACACAGACAGACAGACTTACAGACCGACAGACAGACGTTGCCGTTTATATATAGTAGGATGTGCCAATGTTGTTGATATTATTCAATCGGTTCTGCGGAGGCGCATTACTTCGCGCATCTCGTGATACACCCGTGCGGCCTTACATTGTGAGCGCCGTGTACGGTAAAGAAGCTGTGTATACTGTAGGTTTTTATGAATGTACGCTGCATCTCCCAAGTCCTGTAGCACATGAAAGCTACTTGGAAAACTTGTCAGTTTGGCAAAGTCGTTCGGATCGCGACAGCGCTCATTTCTCGAGCCTCCGTCCCTGCGCGATACGTAGATAGAAGAAATGTGTGTGCGGTTCGACTTGACATTAAGCGGTGCGAACTTGATGCCCACTGCAACGTTAGGCTCTTGTAGAGAAAGATACATGCCGAGATTAGTGAGGCTGAGATTGCAATAGCACTTCCCAAAACCTGTTCAATTTTTGCGAGGCGTCAGTTTTGGATCAGAAGGAAAACGATCGTAAAGTTCAACGCTTCTCTCAAGTGCGGAGATCTCATTATCAGGGCACAGTATCGTTAAGTGAAACACGTAGGGGGTCGTTCATTTCCGCTGAGCAGACGGGTCGTATTGATCATTGGCAGAGGAGAGCGTGGTGTACCTAACTAGGAAGGTCGTTCAGGACGTGGAATAAATAAACGCGTCTTCTCCACCAAACCGTTCCTCTTTCGCATATGTTGCTACGCCGATGACGGGCCGAAATACGACGCTAGCACTTCCGTGCTCTCACTCGCGTCTGCGAGTGCATCGCAGACCGGTCTATGTACACCGAAAATATATAGCTGTGTCTTCTATCCCATTTTTCCTGAACGCCTCTGGAATGCCAAAAATGGAGTGAAAAAAAAGTCCATGGAAACCGACTGTTATTGAGCCTGAATGGGCTCTAAATCACTCGCAAGTTCGGCCAGTTGCTGCCTATAGGGTCCTTATAAAGGTTGTACTGGTATCTATGAGAAAAGTGGTCGTCAATGGGGTCTTACTGATGTGCACGTTATTAATGATGTCGAGGGCCAGATGCCGACATGGGCTCCCCCCTTATGAGACCAATGGATAGTTCGTGACCTCTGCCAACGATCGGAGTGGCCTAGTATAGCGTGGAGGATTCTCAAGCACAGTGGGGATGGGGATGATGGTTCGACTCCCCTCGGCTTGCACGTTTTTGCATTTTTATTTTCCGTTGTTGTCGCTTCCATATATGTCTGTTAATGAATTTTACTCGGATATCTGCCATTTATAGGCACATCCTAAATAGTTATAGCCCGTAGTCGGTGCTATTCAGCGATTTCGATTTCACAAACCATTAAGCAAGAACTTGTCTGAAAGGCTGAGCTTATGTTATTCGATGCCCTGATCATGACTATGGCATTTACTTTCAGCTCTAGTGCCATTTATCTCCAATTTGGAGCCAAGTCTTTCTCCCACTGGAGTCGCTATGTACATTCGTTTGAGGGACTTGCAGGGCCATTCTGACGCCAGATTGGATTGACGTCAAGAATAAGTGTCAGAATCGTGATCAGGACCATCGATTACCCCTATAGGCAAACTTTCAGCCAAAAATTTTTTTTGACTTTTTTGAGTCTGTGCATTGGGTTATGCTCAAGAGTCACTTTGTTGAAGTCGTACTTTTGCTGGTTATCAGGAGGGGGGGGGTAACCCTCATTCAGTGGTACGGAAACAAAAAACTAGCAACAACCATAAACGCCATCGAAAAAAGAACAAAATAGTCATCATTCCTCCAGGTGCATTTGATGAAGAAATCGGATGAGTCTCTCCTCTTGGTAGGGGAGGACGACATCTTCGTTGAGCGAGCCGTCGGCCGCTGGGGGGCCGCACCGCGTCGACAATGTCACAGGATGCGCGTTTTTCACCTTTGTTCTGCGGCACCCATGACCCATATCTCATGAATGGACCTTTATTGAGCCACCAAGATCCGCCGATCGGCTGCCCGCGGCCATGCACGTCATCGCTACGTCATCGCAGCTCCAAAGTTGTGGGTCTCCGGTCATCACCGACGACCAAATGGTCGGTCTATCACAACTCAAAAAAAGTCAAAAAAATTTTTTGGCCGAAAGTTTGCCTATAGGGGTAATCGATGGTCCTGATCACGATTCTGACACTTATTCTTGACGTCAACCAATCTGGCGTCAGAATGGCCCTGCAAGTCCCTCAAACGAATGTACATAGCGACTCCAGTGGGAGAAAGACTTGGCTCCAAATTGGGGACTACGTGCCACAAGTAGGACCCCATTGGCGACTACTTTTCTCATCGATACCAGTACCTTTATAAGGACCCTATAGGCAGCAACTGGCCGAAGTTGCGAGTGATTTAGAGCCCATTCAGGCTCAAAAACAGTCGGTTTCCATGGACTTTTTTTCACTCCATTTTTGGCATTCCCAGAGGCGTTCAGGAAAAATGAACACCAGTTTGGTACTCCATGCACGTAACCCCACATCATGCAAAAAACCGTTTTCAAAAAGCGCTCCACGTCCTGAACGACCTCCCTAGTAAGAGCACAATTGCTGCGTTGATGAAAATTTTTTTTCGTGATTGTTGCCTTTTCGCGTGATTTTGTGTGCTATATGTGTCCCCCCGCTCGACGGAAATTTTTTTAGTGAAGAAATAGGAAATGTAGGAAATTTGTGGTTAGAGAAGGGGGGAGTGTAGTATCTACAACATTATTTTACACATCACGACGATATACAGGGGGGGGCAAAAAAAAAGTCATTTCGGCCGAGCCACATATCAACGAAGTTTTCGCAGCCCAGACAGGGGAAGTGGATATGAGTACCAGAGTGGAAGATACCCAAGATCTTCCTCTATAAGCTGGAGCAGGCTGCCGCCAATCGCCTTCATGTACGCCAAAATATGAAGTCATCTCCAGTCGCGGCCTGACTGGAGAACACCTTTGGAATTCACGTCGCCTCCAAACAGCTGCGAAACTTCTTGAATGAAGTCATCCACAGATAGCTACCTGGAGGTCAGTACTCTTGATCTGCAAGACCTCCCACATCGAGCAGCTACGGCAACGTCGCTACGGTCTAGGACATCATCTTCACCGTATTCGCCGAGGCGCGAGTTGATGGTATGGACCGGGGTACCTGGAAAGGGGAAGACCGATATTTTCTTTGTAGACCCCGACTGAAGGTGAGCGCTGGCGGTTACATCAAGTAACTCGAGAAGAATATCCTCCCTACATGTGGTCGCCCGTACCTTCTTGGAGACCTTGTGCTGCTACAGGTTTGGGTGCCACCACATGGAATCGAAGGGTTTTGGAAAAACTCCCGCCTACTTCGAATGGAAGGGCGTTTCGTACCTGAAGAAGATGTAATATTGAAGTATGTCCCCTGACCTGAACCCACTCAGTTACCTAGTTCGGGCGGACTTCCCGAACTAGATAATTGAGTGGGGAGAGGGTGGTCTACGGTGGCGGAGAAATCGACTATCCCGCTGATCTCAGGTACCACATCGCGGTCGCGTGCCAGAATCTCTCGATGGCGCTCGTCCAGAAGGCTGTGGCGGAGTGTCATGATAGTATTTAATATGCTCTTCAATATGGTGGTAAAA